GGCCCCGTCCCGCTCCCGACGCGGGTGGGGAGCACGGGGTGCTCCGGGGGGCGACTTCGGGACCAGCGCCTGGTCTAGGAGAGAGCCCGGCAGGCCCGGAGGGGGAAGGAGCCGTCGGAACAGGCCGGAGCGCTTCCTTCCCGTGCATCGATCCTGTTCCGACTTGGCCAAGGCGTGTCTATTGAGCACGTCGTATTCCTGACTCCAGGAAACGCGTGAAGCTTCAGACTTCTTCCTGCTCCAGCGGTGCCAGATGTAGGTGGCAAAATAACTCTTAGTTTGTCACTAACTGCTCGAAAAGCATCCCAAATGTTATTTCCTTCATGTGCTTTTCTGCCGCTGTGTGTGCTTGGTATTCAGTAACTCTGAGCCGAGATTAATTAGATTTGGGTTATTCTGTACAGGGGCACTGTTTGAATGTTGTTATGAACGGTCATGCATTCCAGGAAGGCTTTGTGACAGGACAGGGTGACAGCAACGTTGGAATAATCAAGATCCAGGAGCAGAGATGCCAAATGTATTGCTGGAACCAGGCAGGCTTCAGTTTTTCTAGCAGTGCCATAATTAATGTGCCGGCGATGGGCTTGCAGTCCTTCGCGTGTATCAGCGCGATCCCATCGCTAAAGCTCGGGATTGGGACTTGGAAAACCTCGATTCTCACTTCTGACTCTCCCCATCTATGGAAATGTTTTTCCTTGCACTTCGTTTTTCCCGCTGTTCCATTTTGAAAATTCGTGTGAGATGAGAATTTCTATTGCTGTTTAATTGCTATAACAGCGTTTTTTTCTCTTTTATATGCGAGATTGAGATGAAAATGGGGATTTAAAGGCCAGCATATAACAGCAGGTGGCATAAAAAGAGATTTTTGTGCTTGGATTTTGGTTTTTTTTTTTTAAAGAAGCTTTTTCAGTTGGGTTTCCAGAGCTACCATCAGTTTTGAGGCTCGCGTGCCGTGGTTACACTGAGGGGCTTCATAGCTAACATCCTCTCTGGGCAGCTTAGCAGGACTGTAAGATGTCTTATTTTAAAAAATATTCATCCCAAACGCATTTTCTGACGTTCGTTTGGCTGCTCAACAGCGTGCAACCACTGTATCTTTTATGGTGCAGCCAAGTTAATTGGAAGATATGTAAAGAACTTAGTCTCAGGAGAAGTTCCCATGAGATGCTCTGCTCATACCGGAAACCTGACCAGGTATTCCACAGGTGACAAAGTAAGGATTATTTTCCTTTATCTAGCAGTTAGGAAAACACACCCCTTGGCTTCCTCTTACTCTGTATAATATACAGTTCCCAAATATCTCTTTAATGATTAACAGGCATCTCATCATCACCTTGGCAGTTCTGTTTTACCTGTTAATGGACAACGAGGAGCTGTGCCGTACAGCTGAGGTGGCATTAGATGTTGTAAATACACCGAGCAAACATGACCACGGGAGAACTGCGCTGTGGGCTGTAAGCGTGCGTGCAGGCTGTCGTATCATCTGTGATGTAGTGCTGCCAGTTTAAAATGGGAAAATTTACATTAGTATTTCCTCTATAAAACTGTATTTTCGGGAGGCTTCTTGAGAGCGTGAGATGCTTTCTTTCCTTTTCCAAGGGCTACAGAGGTTAAATATCCTAGTCAATGTCTTATCTGTTGTTTTGTTGGGTTTTTTTTCCAAGAGAAAAAACTTCCCAGATGAACACCAAAGTGCCACACATGTTGATTTTAGATAACGTGCACGGTGTCAGTGTGTGTGCTCTTTGTTTAACCAGCTGGGTGAAGGTTGAGGACCTTAAATTGCAGATAAAGTGAAGAGCAGTTTCACTCACCTTTCTTTACATCCCTAAGGAACATGACATGACAGTGTGATATAACCAGGGGAAATAGGATATTTAAAAATTAAAACAAGAGCAAACCAACATGTTCCTTACCCGTGTGCATTCTGTTCCAGAACACCTGTTGCAGCCATGATGCCTGTTGCAACCGTGATGCCCGATGACACACCGATGTTTGACCCAAGTATTCTGCATGAACTTGACTGGAGTGAGAACACGACGACGTTTTCTCCTGCTATTTCTCCTCTAGATCCAGGAGATGGCCTAGTTCTGAGACCACTTTGCACAGCTGACTTAAATCGAGGTAGAATCCTGTTTAATGATCACAGCAAAAGAAAGCTGGGTGCTGTACTAGATAATCTGTATTTCTGCATGATCTCTCAATAGATTAGGATCACTCATTTTATCTGATTTGGGTTATTTTTGAGGGAGTGGAGCATCTCCCTTATGAGGAAAGGCTGAGGGAGCTGGGTCTCTTTAGCTTGGAGAAGAGGAGACTGAGGGGGGACCTCATTCATGTTTGTAAATATGGAAAGGGTGACTGTCATGAGGATGGAGCCAGGCTCTTCTCACTGGCATCCAATGATAGGATAAGGGGAAATGCATATAAGCTGGAACATAGGAGGTTCTGCTTAAACATGAGGAAGAACTTCTTCCCAGTAAGGGTAACAGAACACTGGAACAGGCTGCCCAGAGAGGTTGTCGAGGCTCCTTCTCTGGAGATGTTCCAAACCCGCCTGGACGTGTTCTTGTGTGATCTGATCTAGGTGGTCCTGCTCCAGCAGGGGGATTGGACTAGATGATCCTTTGAGGTCCCTTCCAATTCCTAACATTCTGTGATTTTTATCAGTTAGGAATTCGAGCACTTGGTACCATGGATTAGGTGTTGGGTGACCCTCAAAATTGGCTTCACTGCTTTAACCTCAAAAACAATCTTAAAATTCAAGTCAAGTCTTTCAAATAATCCACAGCTTCCTATTCACCCCACCTTTAGAGAGGGAGTACAGTTGTTCACACTGTTCCCTTTTACATTAAAGTAATGAGAACCCACGTATTCTTAGTGCGTGGAGATTTCTTCAATTCTGTAACTTGGCCAAAAAGTTTGTTCTGAACATACAGCTTAATATCGCATAATTTCAGGCTCATGCTTTCCTTGGTAGGACGTACGCATCGTCTGCACTCGATCTGCAGTGTGCTGCTGCTGCATTAGCTGATCCTTCAGCATTGCTGGAGGTGGGAGTTTGATTTTAAGATTAAGGTCTAGTTCTATGACATGCAGAGCAGAGGCTTTTACATACAACTGAACTGGATGGTGCTATGGGGATGTTAACTCTCCAAACAGCTGTGTCGAGTTGTTCTGTGCTATTAGGAGCTAATTGTTTGTCTCTGTCCCTCACTGAGGATTTGTGTTGTTTTTTTTTTTTTTTTCCTTCTTTTATAACAGGCTTTTTTAAGGTTCTGGGTCAGCTGACTGAAACTGGAGTTGCAAGCCCAGAGCAGTTTATCAGTGAGTATATCATTGTTTCTTGGCACTTCCACAGAGTTTGCTGGGAACCAGAGGATACTGATGCTGACAGCAAAGCTGCTTGAGTGCGAGGCTCCCGACCGCCTGATGCCAGAGGGATTTATTAGCTCAGCTCCCGAGGCAGCCTTTGGCAATAGGATCCAGTTGCAGCTATCCCAAAGGGCTTCTTGGCTAGGACAGGCCTAAATCGTATACCTGCTTTTGAGAGTGAGCTTTAGACACCTGGTGGAAGGGACTGCTGGGTGGTGGCTGGTTTTGGCTGAATTATTGCAGCACCGGTAGTGAGGCAGAGGCTCAACAGCATCCTGAGCTTGCTTCGCTGGTTTAATTGAGATATAAGAAGGCTTAGAAGTTCTGCCACCTTCATTGTAGTGCCCATCTGCAGAGACACTGGGGAAGGAGGGTTCTCTTGGCAGCTAAGGAAAAGGCATTTGTTTAATTTCTGCTTTTTCCTGGTTCCGTCTCTGGGTTAGTCTGACTCTGGGGCTTTCAGGTTGTAGGGTCTTGGACGCATCTTCCTGGTGATCCTGAACCCTGCAGTGATCTGCATTCAGAATCCGTTGCAGGTGTTAGGCTTCGAAGCAATTTAATCCGAGATTAACGGTGACTGTTCCACTGTCTGTCCACTTCCACAGAAACCTTTGAGCACATGAAGAGATCTGGAGATTACTACGTTACCGTCGTAGAAGACACAAATCTTGGACAGATTGTTGCTACGGCAACGCTGGTGATAGAACATAAGTTCACTCACTCCTGTGCAAAGGTATGTTCTCTCGCTGCAGCTGTAAAGTGAGGAAAAAGATCCTGTCCCCAGATCCTGCGTGGTTTATTTTTATGGTGCTACTGTATGATGATGTACCTTCTGCTGAGTCAGTCACAAAGGCATTTTAAAAATATCTCCCATCCTTGGGCGCTCAGCTAAATAGTAAAAGGAAGCTTTGGCTTTTCCTAAGGAAAAAGAGCAGTGATGTCTGTCCTGTTCTGCCTCCCAGTGAGCTTTTGAACTAGTCAGACGTGGTTCTGACGGAGCAGATGGCTGAGGGTCTCACTGCTGTGGAGTCCCAGCTAGACGTGTGACAACAGGGAGCTGCAGAGATAGAAATTCCCCAGCGGGGAGAGGCTGTGGTGGGACTGCAGCTCCTGCTGGGTGCTGGAAGGGGTGTTACGAGCGTGTCAACTGCTGGAGGAGTTGTATCGAACTAGAGAGCAGAAAATCCAAGCATGAAACGTAGCGCGGTAGGAAAACTCACACCACGGTGTCCTCATCAACTAACGCTTGCCTGTGTTTTCACAGCGAGGAAGGATAGAAGATGTAGTAGTGAGCGGGGAGTGCAGAGGAAAGCAGCTTGGTAAACTGTAAGTATTTCACCACCTCTGCCATTCAACACCAGGCAGGCAGCGAGCCCTTACCCAGCTGGTTTATGTCCTCCCCTACCTTACCACGCTGATGGGTGCCAGCAAAAAAGCTGGCAAAGATCACTCACCAGACCTTGGAGAGCAGGAGTTGAGCTCTGCGGGTGAGCTGCAGGGCACGTCCTCCCCAGCCAGCCAGGTTAAAAGAATTTAGCCAGAAGGTATCACCAGCTGAGGTTCTTACAACAGCGATCCAAAATCGTCTGCCAGACGCTGGTGATTTCAAACTTTAGCATTATAGGTCTGATAACTCCAGCTAATTAAATGTTAATTGACCCAACACGTTCAGGGCAGTTTCATTTAACTGCTGGTTTTCTGTCTTTTTTCAGATTAACGTCCACCCTGACGTTGCTAAGTAAGAGACTGAACTGTTACAAAATTACACTCGAGTGTCTGCCAAAAAACGTGGATTTCTATAAGAAGTTTGGTTATTTGGTATCTGAAGAAAACTACATGTTTCAACGGTTCTTTAATTAAGAACTTCTAGTCGTTTTTTTGTAAAGACTGTTGGTGGAGGAGCTTGTGCTACAAACATTCTCTTCGTGGAAAATTTATATAGTTTATTGCTGCAGATATAATGATCCCTATAAATTAATGAACATGAAATGTGTAAATCCTGAAAAAAAAACAATGTTACTGACATTTTAGAAGGGTCCTTTGGGTTAGGAAATAAGCGCCTCGAACTAATTTTTACTACTGTTCAGTCTTAAGTGAAGCTTTTTTGTTCTAGCTGAGTTACAAAGGACTCTCGTTAAAGGGATGGTTTTTAACCAAAGGTATATATTTTTATCTCAAATTTTTTCTTGCATTGTATTTTTCTAAAGGTTCGCGCTTCTTTTCTTGGTAGCCGGAGTACAGCTCGCGGGATCGCTCTCCTGTCTGTACTTCAGGGAAGGATGACGTAGCTCGGGTGGGGATGCTTCCCGTGCGGAATTAGCGATACAGAACGAGCGTTTGTTCCGTTCTTTCCATGAAAGCTCACTGAAGTGTTGTTGATGTTAAGTGTACCTAAAGTTTTATAGGCACTATTTTCCAAAACTGAGTTTGTTACTGTTCGTGCAGGTAGGGGAGAATCCTTACGGGCTATGCTAAAGCTGATGTTCCGAGTCTAAAAATGGATGTGTGCTTCTCACTGCAGGGGTCCTGCACTTTAGCTGATAACTTACTTTGTTTTCAGGATAATTACTTGTTTTTCTGACAAAAAAAAACCCAAACAAAACCAAACAAGCTAATGGCTTGCGACAGGGCAAAGGTAACTGGGAACTGGAATGTCTGACAGGCAGAATACAGCCCATCTTTAGTGGGACTCCGGCTCGTACTCAATGGGAATGTGATTTGGGATTGGCAGTAACGCATTCAGCGTCACCGAGTGCGCCCAGCCGCCTCGCTGCACTTGAACTCCTGAGGGCGAGGCTGTGGTTTTACTGGTAATGGCTTATGCCTACGGCATAGCAATCCCCCATCCTGGTCCCGAGGGATCCTTGCTGCTGTGGAGCATCCCTCCTGCTGTAAGATTGGATAAATGATTTTAGCACTTTTGCCAGTGATGGCAAGCAAATGACGTACAGAGCCCTGGTTTCCACAGTGGTGTTTTGTGCGAAGGGAGTGACAAATCCTACATCTGTGAATAGGGCATTATAAATACGCGGAGGTTCGTACAGAACAGCCAGTCTCGTTCCTGAACAGTCAGGCCTTACAAAACGTTCTTTCATTGTGGTGTGGAGAGCTACTTTAAGCTGTGGTGGGGGTTCTATTTAATGTTCCTGATGGTACTCCACTCAATACAGTGTTTCCTTGGTGATGTCTGTTTTATTTATTGATTATTTTTAAGAAAAAAAAAAATAATCTTTGTTTAAGCTGAATAAATGAAGACTGCCAGAGGTATCTGGTCTGGTTTCTGTATTGCTGTGTTGTGCCTAGCAGTGGGTAAGCATGGACCTCTTGTCTTTCAGAACAGTCCCACCTGCTGGAAATACCTTTGTTTTCCTTTCCCTAGACTGAAAAGAACACTTTTTGAGACTCCATGTTGACTTTAAGCATGGGTCTGATGCCCATTTGAATCTTTACAAGTATGACTCTTATGAAGCAGGTCTCCAAAGGACATTCTCAGCTTGTTCTGGTGGTGGGGCCTTTGCCTGCAGGCACCAGCCCCAGCCTGAGTATCTCTCCTGCAACCAGAGCTGTGCATCCAAACAGCTTGATTGCTTACAGACATGGACACAAGCCCAGGGCTACCAGGACTACTGAGAAAACACATCTCAGAGCCAGGCTGAAGTTTCTAACCCATTCATACCCCTGCTCTCCACAGCACATCTGCAGTTAGGCCTGGGCACCCTATTTTCTTAGGGGTGTTTGCCCCTGAGGTAGAACTGGGCTTCTCCCAGGTGTGCTCTGCTAACAGAGCATCCAAGCGGCTTGAGCCCCAACTCTGAACTAATTGTATAAAATCAGCCACTGATTTATGCTGAGCTCCAATGACAGAGGTGGATTTTCTTGCCTTTCACAGTTTTAATTTATTCTGAATTTCCACTAATTTAAAGTGGATTATTTGAATTCCATGATATCTACACCATCTAAATGGCTCCAGGCCCTTATTAAGACTTAATGAAAAGATTAGTATAAGTGAGGAGCAGGTGATTGTGTACCCAGCTTAGATCATTGTAAAACAAATGAATTAAGTTGAAAGCTTGGTTTTGTGGCTGCATGACAATGCCTCTGCTGGGAGGGAATCCAGCTCATCAGCATCCCTTTAGCTTTGAAGAGCTCTTTGTTCAGTACCAGAGGTGACATTCCCAACCTTGGCAGACTACCACCCCTCTGGAAACAGCAGTTACAGCAGGGCTGTGTTGAGAGGAGACAGCAGTTACAGCTGTCACCTGCTGTGCCACACTGGGTTAACTGCTGGGCTGCCAGCAATTCCGGTGGAGGAAGAGTGGGCTCAGTGTACAGGTTTTTTACAGGAGGAGAGGGTTGGGGGTGGGAGCTGTAGGGCAGAAGCTGGTCCATTACCAGCAGGGGCCCTGAAGTGTCAGCTGGCAAACACCCTACAAACTGCAGGCAGGTGCTGTAGAGCTGGTACTACCCAGACTGAGGACTTAAAAAAATGCCCCCAGCCAGCTGGAAGAACACCTAGTACACAGGTGTATGTATTTTAAACTGTTACAGGAACCAGGAAAATGCCACAAATAACAGCATTTAACAGCAACAGGTGGTATCAAAATATATTACACATCTCCTAAACTGAAGAAGCCCTGTTAATTTATCTACAGTACAATGGGCTCAACAGGAAAGAGCAAGACCTCCTCCTCCTCTCAGGGAACAAAGGAATCAAGGATCTTGTCAGAAATAACCACAACATAACTACCAGTTTCTCCAGAGGTTTAATGTTACCTCCTCCTTGGGATTTCATATTTTGGGTAACAGCTCTCCTCTCACAAGGAAAAGATCTCAAGCTCCTAAATTCTGCTTCCCCTAAGCTGGAAAAGGGAACTTTAGCACCTTAACGTACAGGTGTGAATCCCCAAAGATCTGGGTACTGCAGCTGTGTCTGACCTGGAGAAGGGGGAAAAAAAAAAATTCAACCTCCAAGGCCACAGTGAGGGACTCCTGCTGCCAATTACCACCTTTGATTTATGCCCAGAAAGCAAACACTAATTGAAACACCTACTGGCCATAAGCTAAAAGAGACAGATGTCAAGAAGTTTTAAATAAAAGGATTAACAATAGATATAAGAACAACTAATGTCAGAATCCCTTAGGATAAGAGAGGCCGTTATCTGCAAGGCAGCAGACAGACCAGAAGAATGACTGTAGAAGGCAGCAGTAGGAGGTAATGGCATAAAAAAAAAAAAAAATTGGTGGAAAATCCTTAGTCATGAAGCTTGTTAGTTTGTGAAACAGTCTCCCCAGGGAAGCATCAGGACCCCAGTGAGGTAGCAGAACCAGACTACACATGAACAAGCCTTTCTGGCAGGCAATAGTTGGATGAATCAATAGCGTTTTTCCATCTCTACCCCTTCCCAAGGGAGCTGAAATAGAAAGCAATTTTATGCAGAAAGTCTGGTTCCCCTTCTTGTTTCGTCAGAAGCTCGTAGCTGGCAGAGAGGGACATCCACAAACCCCACTGCAGCCGTGTCACAGACTCGTGGGGTAAGTGGTGAAACATCTGAGAATGTATTTCCCAACAGCCCCAGAAGCATTCTTCTGAAGAGAGTCAGTTAACAGCACATCATGAACCCTGCAACTGCAAAACCAGCACTGCATGCTTAGCCAGTCACCTGAACACTGGTGACTTGTAGTTCTTAAGGAGGTAACAGTAACACCTTCTTTTTTCAAGCTGAAAATTCCCTAACGAAAGCATCATACATTTCTTTTCTTTCCCGAAGGATTTGCATGGCTCCATCCCCAACGTAGGTGGCAGAGGACAGGGAAAGTGCTGAAAATGGCTGAACACTGGTTCAGCTGCACTGAAGCTGTGAACCCTCCCCATCCACAGCACTCCAGGGCCTTCACATTCCACATGAGAAGAGGTTATTAGGCTGTAAAGCCTCACCCAGGTGTCCTGGCTCAGCTAAAAGCCCTGACTTACTGCAGGATTTCCTCCTCAGGTGTCACCAACATCTCCTGTAGCAGCACGCTTTCACCCAGGCAGTAGTTTTCAAACCAGAATCTGCTAACTATTTGTAAGAGGTTGCTAAGTAGCCTTGACACAGGCCAAGAGGGCTCAGACTTGCCCTGGAAGGACTGCCCCTCAGCAAGCCTTCCGAGGAGCTGCAAGACAAGGCAGAGGATCAGTGACTAAGTAAAGATGAGCAAGTCACAGGCGTGGTCAGCTTGCCTTGAACACGCAAAGTGAGGCAGAACTCCTACAAAGTAAACAAGCTGCTGGACATCCTCCAGCACAAGGCAGCATCAGAAGAGATCCTCACAGTAGAAAACGGCTTCACTCTTTAGATTCATGCCTTCAAATTCAAAGACATCTGCCTTCAGAGAGTGTCCCTCAGAGCAGGTTGTTCATTCTGAGGCCAACTGAGGACATTGGCCACTCGCACACAGCCACATCGAAGCACAGGGAGATCACTGGATGCTCAGATCCTAAAGACATCTGCCTTCAGAGAGTGTCCCTCAGCGCAGGTTGTTCATTCCGAGGCCGACCGAGGACATTGGCCACTCGCACAGCCACATCCAAGCACAGGGAGATCACTAGATGCTCAGATCCCCAAATGTCTTTTATACTGATTCAACTCTTGAGCCCACCTGTTCCTTGTTAAATAGTCTTAATTCCAAGCTCAGATTTCCCAAATGCACAAGTTCTTCTCACAGTTGTGTAATTTACTCAGTCACCACGGTGCTCCAAAGGAGCCACCATTTCATTCACATCTTGTATGCAACTGGCTGATTTGGCAAATAAAGCAGAGATGCAGAGCTGAGACTGTACTTGCACAGCCCGTGGTTATCACCATGCTTCTGAGAAGGGAGAAGAGTTAAAGCTGTGCAAACCGCCTCGGCAATTCCCAGTTTGAAAACTTTAAAGCACTGGTACGTGCGTGGACTTAGTTGAGTCTAATGCTTTAGAAGAGTGAGGTGAATCCTTTAGGTCTTGATGCTATTATGGCCAGTGCTTTGGGCCTCAGTTTTTAAACACAACCCAAATGATGCAACTATCGTCTTACAAAGGGAACTACTCCTTCAATACTAGTTTGAAGATGCACTGTTGTAGTAGACAGATGGATCATACTGGCTTGTTCAACCGAAATCAACCTATACGTAATTTAACAAGCAGCTTTTTCAT